TTGTGTCCCACCAGTTTCATTTGTTGGAAGTTTCATTAAACGTATTTTAATGCCTTGTCTAGTTTTGGTGTTCTTGGGTGACCTGATTTTTAAAAGAAACATAATTTCAGATGCCCTGAATAAATCATTACTACAATAAACTCCTTGTTAGGGAAAAATAATGAGACTTCAGAATACTCAGATTCATAGAAAACATATTGTAGTGATGACTTCCTTCTTAATTCCCTGTATTCAGTGAAGCACTGAATTACCTTCAAATATGTTAGAATCATGGCATTGCAGTAATAAAAAGAAAATTAAACTCCCTGCTAAACAATATTTCATAGTACAGGAGAGCAAAACTTAAGAGGAAGCTAAATATTTTGATAATTTGTAATAAAGAACCTACATTAGAGCACTGATGTAAAACAGTTCTGTGAAGCAAAGTTTAAATAATTGGAGCCAAAACTGTACAGGTTAAGATTTGAAACTCATACATTCAGTCTTTGGCAAAATTTAATTTCTGCAAAACAGAAAGACATCCCATTATATGGAGCTACATTCTTACCTAAAATTTCCTTTTAAATATGATGTTTAGCGTTGGAGGTAGTATTCATGTGTGTGTAAATATATATGTGTTACATTTCTGTATGCACATATATATGCATAAACATAATACACACACATATATATGGAAGTGGAAGGTATGGCTGTTTTCCTACTAAGTTTCAAATTATGTTGAAGGTTTTGCTGAAACAAATGTTTACAAATCAAGATACAGACTATTCTGCACCTGTAGGTCTCAATTTCACCAAAATTGGTCAGCACAATTCGTGCTCATGCTTCCACTCTTCTTAAGTGAGAAGAAGTAAGATTTTTTCCCCATTTTCTCAGGAAAGCATTTGCTGTACATGAGGAACTGTGAAATTTCATTCATGAGAATTTAAGTGTAAGAGACAAAATCCTGCAGCTAATTTGCAGGATTTTGATTTCATAGCCATTGAAGACCAATGTTAAACAAAAACTGGGAGAGAAAAACCTGGGAGAGCAAACCTTCCTCACAACAGAAATCTCAACCACACTACTGAACACATTTTAAATTATGACTCTAATTAATCTGACGAAACAGATATATTGAGCCTGGTTTTCAGGATCTAAAACATGCATTTGATTTCCTAAACGAGAAGCTATTTAGCTAAATAAATACATACACAAATTTCAAAAAATGTGCAAATTCCATGTGTACTGTATGTACACATCAGCCAGCCAGTCTTTTTAAGATTGGGCCTTTCTATACTGCCAGTTCTCCATTTCCAAACAGGGAACCACCTCAATATTTTCTCACAAAAACTAAAATTAAATTTTCAACCATCAGATGTATGCAGATAAACCAGGCAAGTGGTGCTGGTTGAGTTAAACTCCAGGGTATGTTTTATTTCATTGTGAGCATAAACCATGTTATTTCTGTTTTAATTTGCAGTTCTGTTTCCATGGTAATTATGGCAGTGGAGAAAGGGTAAAAAGTCTTTTTTTACATAGTAAAAAAATAGAAAACATGGTGCTTGTGTGGGGGGCCGTGTTTGCAATAGTATTTTTCAGAAGCTGTACTTTTGTTTTTCCTATTTGCATTCAGAAACCTAGAAAGGTTTGCACAATGAAAAAAAAGTCTTCAACCAAGTATATTCTGTAATATTTTTCAGGCATGTCTCACGACAAGTACTGGTATCCTAGGCATGAGCACAGTCATTAGTTAAATAGGAGACCTCTAGAGAAAATACAGGAAATTGCAGGAAGTTATTTTGGTGATTTAGAAAGAAGCATGATTTCTTCTTGCAGTATACAGTGAATTTCTAGATATTACAAAGTAAGATATGCAGGAGTGGCATCTTTTTGCTAAAAAAACCGCGGTCACATCCTACTTATAACCACTTTAATTAATTACTGTTCTCATATATGATGATTGACTTACCTCTAATTACCATTTGCATAAGCTTTCCCCACCCTCAAGATTTCAATCCTTTATTAAGACCTTGGCCAGATACAGTTGATTTAAATTTTGGCATGGTTGAAGAGTGCTTTCTCTGATGAAGCTGATGTGTTTAGGTTGTTTCTTCCGAAATTAAAATATGCATGTGAGTTCCCAAATGAAAGCTACTTATTTGCCACAAAAACATGCACAAAATAGGTAACCGGTCAAGCCAAAGCACACTTTCATCATGTGTCAAAAGTGAAGAGATAAAGGCTATGACTGAATGCCTACTAAGGTAGCTGGGGATCTCTAAATGGATTTGTGCTGACAGTGGTGTATCTGTCTTAAGGAAGTTTTCACCACCCTTTGGAGGTCACGCGCTCTTAGTCATACTTACCACTGTATTAGTTATTGCAATAGATAAACTGGAAGCAGTGAAAACAATCTCTTCAGGAAAATACTTTTTAACCATTTATAAAATCAAGCTAGCAGTTACACTTGCAAGGTAAAAGCAATGACACAAATTCTGAAGACATTCTAGTCACTAAAGACCTATTGTTTTCTTTCTCAAGACTTGGTATGTCAACCAGCACAAGCTCTGTAGGGAATCTGTTTTGCACTACTGAAGTCACTGATCACATAGGGACCAGGCTGATTTTATATATGCATCTGGAAAAATCGATCCCGTCCATATAAACTCCCTTTGCGAGGACATTGCTCTTTCACTCCTTGTCCCGTATGTCGCCATGTCAACAGTGATACTATTTTTGTGAAGTATGTGTATATGTTAAATACTCTATGACAGTAAACCCACTGAAAGTTATTCAGCTGCAGTTACAGGGTATTTGCATTGCCAGTGTTAACAAATGGACAATTTTTTACAAATTTGCAGATGTTTGCCTACCATTACATTTGTATTCAAAGTAAAACTCCGTTCTTAGATATTATTTTGCACTGAACTGGCAGAAATTTAAACCCCAACTGTGAAATCTGTCTGAAGTGAAGGCACAGTATCCATATCAAAGCACCTAAATGTAGCCGTCATGTTTTTCCAAGGTAGCAAACAGCCACAGTAATCCTATGGATTACAGTAGGAAGTGGAGTTCCTTTAAAAAATCAGTCCCTTTTTTTTTTGGGGGGGTGGGGTGTGTCTGTTTTTACATCTAAAAGCTACCATAACTGTAGGCACCCAAATCTGAAAATTCTGGTCTTAGGGAAGTAAGCTGTAACATAATAGTAATAACTGTTGTTAAATACATAGAGAAGCAGTTCTTGGCGG